AAGACCTAGAGCGTTGGTCCGGCCGGGGCTCGAACCATCGGCCTCGACCTCCCGCACAACAACAGTCCAGCGCTCTAACCAATTGAGCTAACCGGGAAGCCTGTGTAACCCCGAAAGGTCACATGTGTAGCGAGGGTCGTAAGCGATGAATTCGGAGACCAGACAATTGTAACGCACAACGTAAACTTTAATTGAAATAGCGTAAAAGGGCAGCGGCTTGTAGAATGATAGATAGATGATTCGATTTGTAGCTTTGCGTAGCGGTAAGGTCTTGTTGCAATGAGATTTGTTCTGGTTCTAACTGAAAAGCAAAGAAAGGAACCTAAATAAGCCGACGCCTGTGGATGGACTACTTAACCTAGACGCACGTGGCATAGAATCGCGAAACTACACAAGTGCTAAAGATAATCATGCCAATTAAGATAATGAAGCTAACTGTAACGATCAAGTAAATATAATGGCTTACTTTAGTCTGGCTCCTAGCGGTAATAGGTAGCTGATATGTGGCGGTGAAAAGGAAAGTAGCGTTTAGCGAACAAGTAGCGTTGCAACAATAAACCTCTCAAAGAACTACGTCTCTTGCACAATGAAATCCCATCGCTAAACCTGTCACGCAAGTATGTACAGTTGCGCAAGAAGTAGATAATCAACGAGAACAAGACAGGAATCACGGCTAAATATAAACAAACGAACTATTATGGTATGAAAGTAACAGCCTGAACTGCATTTTGCTTCAGTTTATTAAATACATTTTCATGTATTTCATTCATTCTCTTTTTCATTTTGTAGATAGGCACCATATTTGCCAGTGCAAACATTTTTGTTACGGCAAACATTGGGTATACTGGCGTAGACACCGTGAGTGTAAGGTATGGTAAACTGTTAAGTTCTTTGTCACTGTTGTAAACTGATTAAATGTTACTGCATAACATTTAACATGACAAAAACTCACATGCTGTTTCCTACATATCGGCAACCCAAGACATGATCTTATTCACACTATGATTGAATACATGAGTGAGACATTAAAATGGAGACCTACAGTGAATTCCATGTAGCCTGGTTTTCACTTACGACGCAAGTGCAAGCGCAGCCATAAAGTAAGTATCAGCGCAAAAAACTTGCACTAGCTACTGACAAGGCTCCGTTGATCGCGGTGGCAGACACCCTAAGTCTTCGAGTTCTGTTTTTTCTTCTATTCTTGCGACGAAGAAAGCGAAAGCTCAATAAAAAGGCCATCGAGGCCGTATTCATGGTGAAATAAGACCTGTTAAGGTTGCGTCGCTAATGAAAACCAGGCTTAGCTGTCAACCCCGTCTTGAAGCGATTTGCGCAATTGAACGATCATATTGCTTGAATCTCATACTTGACTGACTTAAGTTTTCACCAGTTGTTTATCTTTGTCTTACAAGGTGTGGCAGTTTAATTATTGATCTAGTACTGCGCTTCAACCACATCACTAAAGAAAAAGATGTTATTGCAATACTTCGCGGTGCGGCGTTGAATGGAGCCTTTGGAGAATTGAATGTTAGTGCTGTGTTGGCAAGGCGTATGACATACACCATCTCATTACAGAGTATGTTTGTGAATTTTTTTATCATTGGATTCTTTCACTAATGTGTTAAACTACAAATTTAGCTCCAGTTTTTAGACTCTTTATTTTTGCAATTAACGTCTTTTACCCAAGCATTTGTGGTCGTTGAACTATGAAAAGGATTTTTTCTTCTTTAGTAATCTAACTCATATTTCTGGATTCTAAAGGGATTTTGCGTTTTATTTTATCTCTCATCCAATAAATCAAGGTATTATCCCCTTAAAAAGAAAATATTTGACACCCTTGTAATTGCTCCATTGTCTAGGACACAACTATGGAGATTTTTAAGAAACAATAAGAAACTCATATGTTTCTCGTAACTAAAAGCTGGTTCAGTAATTCCTTTTGAGAAACAGTATGAAGTCGTTTGTTGCAGCTAGAGAGTCTCATTGCAAGTAATTAATAACTTCCTTCCTGAACTTAATATTTTGCATAATACATTCGCAACGACCTTTTTCAGAGGATGAAGGGGAAGGATAGCAGGGTAGTTTTACAGAGTTTGGCAAATGTGTCTCGGATTGTACACTTTGTTTAAACACTGAAAGTGGGATTCTCTGGGTGTCCGTTTTGCCAAAGAGACTTTCGTTTTTCGTGAATAGCAACACCATGTTTGTCAAAGGTGCATGTCAAGTGAACACCCCAAGTCCATGCGAGTTCCGAGTGACACGTCCAATAACGTGTTCTTTTTTTGAAATGAATAACGAAGAAATTCTTCTTTTTTTCGGTTTAAAGCACTTACAAACCCCCCATGGACGGCAGAACCTGAAAGCAGAATTGGTACATATTCATGCAGATATTATTATGCTAGACACAACGTTAATACTAACTATGCTATGGGAAGAGTCATTGTTAATTAAGGTAGAAAAGGTATTAGTGCTCAGGAGAAAAAGATCCACCAATACATATTGAACTGTGACCCGTATTGAACCAAGTAAAGAAAACAATTTTTTAGGCTATGATGTCAGTCTGTACATTGCTAGTTCACAGACAAAGACCAATTACAGCGAGCTGTGACAGTGGGCAGAGTTATTTGTCTTAGTTTACGTTTCGTCAGTTTGATTTAATCCAATTCCTTAAAGTGCACCTAAACCCAAAAATTTTTTTCGCTTAACCAAATAAGCTTATTTTTTGAACTTATTTTTTTAAGTGTGTTGTAGGAGGATGTAGCAACGTGCGAAATTTGCAAGAGGGTATCACGCTTCATACATTCCTCATACAACACACCTGGTCGGCATATTTCGGACAATATCGACCACAACCTTCCCAAACAAGTGAAAATGTGTGAAAAGCAGACTTTCGTGTTCTCGATTTGACGTCACATTATCCGCTAGAGCCATTCCTCTTTAAACTCGGTCGTGGGGCAAGATGGCGGCCGATTTTCCGTATTTTGACTAGGCACAGAAAATTTAAGATTTAAGCAAATTAAAAAATGTTTGCACAGAAATACTCCAAAAAATACGCTTATTTCGTTAAGCGAAAAAAATTTTTGGGTCTAGGTGCACTTTAAGTCTGTGTGGAGCAGGGGCGTCGCCCTTTTTGGCTGATGGCTTTTTTTTTGGATCAGCGATCAGTCTCCTCTTTCCAGGTGAATCATATGCGGACACTGTTGTTCATAGCTTAGGAAGGTCTTGAATAAATATATTTGAGCTCTTTCGGGTTTGAAATTTAGTTCTTGAAGAACGCAGATAGCACACTAACAACGATTACTTCCAAATTATTTAAATTTCGAAGAAACCATAGGGATCGTTGTTGGTGCAGCATTGGGATTGGTTGTGGCTGTAGCTGTGGCTGCTGGCATCACAGCTTGGATTGCATTCAAGAGAAGAAAGCGTTCCAGAAGGAGCAATGAAGGTAAATGTTGGGTTTTTAACGAAAACTTTGTGGACTCAGCTAACATCAGTTCCGGGATTTTAAGAGATACCTTTCTATTTCCCTCTTTAGTCTCAGGAGAAATCGTTTTCCGCTATGCAAGCTCTTGTATGTTTAAGATAAACAACCGTTTTTAAAAGCTTACCTTTAAATATTGGTAAATATGCTTTTTTCTTCCTACTAGGTATGTCTCCAGTTAGACCTCTTTTAAGTTACTTAAAAGTAATGACATAAGAACTTTACCTTTTCCTTTGCCTTTTCCCACTGTTTTGTTCTGTTTTTTCCCTTTTGCTTTTCTTGTTTATTTTTGTTTTTGTTTGGGTTCTTTCCCTTTTTCTCTTTACTTTTCTAAATGTTTGTTTTTCTCTGTTTGTCGTTCAGGGACAAAAAAAAGAGAAAGGTAAGGCTTTAAGGGAATTTAAGTGCCTCTCTTTTCATTTCTGACCCTTCGTGCCTTGTTTTCCCACTCGCTTTGAAACACAAAAGATGTGGTTATTCTTTTCAAGTCTTCTTTTTGCTCTTCGAATGCATTCTTCTGAAAGACATAGAAAGGGAACCACTTAACTGCGAAGAATACTCGTCAAATTTTATGAGCAGTCCTTAAGCATATAATGTTTATAGTAATCATGGAACCGTTGTAACAGGCAGTAATTTAAATGAATAAAGGCTGATAGTTTCGAAAGAAACTGTTTGGGGCTGCGTCGGTGGGAGTAACGAAATAATTTGGATATATCAACAAAGTTGAAAAGGTACTGTCAAGGCTCCGTTGATCGCGGTGGCAGACACCCTAAGTCTTCGAGTTCTGTTTTTTCTTCTATTCTTGCGACGAAGAAAGCGAAAGCTCAATAAAAAGGCCATCGAGGCCGTATTCATGGTGAAATAAGACCTGTTAAGGTTGCGTCGCTAATGAAAACCAGGCTTAGCTGTCAACCCCGTCTTGAAGCGATTTGCACAATTGAACGATCATATTGCTTGAATCTCATACTTGACTGACTTAAGTTTTCACCAGTTGTTTATCTTTGTCTTACAAGGTGTGGCAGTATAATTTAAGGCTGATAGTTTCGAAAGAAACTGTTTGGGGCTGCGTCGGTGGGAGTAACGAAATAATTTGGATATATCAACAAAGTTGAAATGGTAAATTGGCCACCGTAATGATTACAAAAGCTGACGTTTCGAGCGTTAGCCCTTCGTCGGAGCGAATAGAGGAATTGTGGGTTGTGTGTGCTTTTTAAAGGCAGTAATTTAAATGGGTGCCGCAGATTTAGATCTAGTAGACGAAATACATGGTAGCTTAATCATTGTTTGTTGGTAGCTCTTCTATTTTTACGCAACTACCGCACAGGTATTTAGGTTTAGCTTTTCTTGAGGAAAAAATCCAGTGTAACATGGAGGATGTTCACTGAATACCGTGAACATAATGTTCACAAACGCCCTAAATGTCTGACGGGTGGTTGTGATATGATTAGAGCTCTAGTTACTTCCAGTGTTCAGTGCTTTTTTATTTGATCTAACATGACTGGCATGTTGTTCCCTCGGTTTGCGAGGCAATATGTCTATGGTATTGTTTTAGAACATACGAACAATTAACTGAAGAAGGAGGATACCCTACGAGTGTAAGTCTTGTGCATGCTTTGAAATGAATTTTTATGCATTTTTAATGTCAGCCAGTACTTGCAAAATTTTCAGCTGGATTGTAAGGACTAGATATTTATACGCGGTTTAACCCATACTGCGGTCTCGAACCGCATAGTATGCAGTTAGTGGGCCCCAGGTTTTATAGATTGAAGGGTTGAATCAATCAAACAAATGTCCTTCCACTGTTAGCTTGCCGCCCTCTTGACACTGTTCACAAAAATATATTTTTAGATGTAAGGGTTCACTTCATTGAAGATGGTTTACAAGGCAGTTTCGTTACACAACGTCCAAACTTTGTTTGAATAATAAGACCTGAGTTCTTCAAAACGCTGATAAAAATTTAATCAAACCAACTTATATGGTATCAATTTTTATCCATTTCTAAAGTATCAAATGGTTAAGACTCAGTTTGCAGGAGATTGTTTGTTTCAAATCATTTTGGAGCAAGGTATACGGTGGTCAATATTTCTTAAAACAAATTTTTGCTCACAAGACTGCCCTTGAAATGGTTGATCATTCGCCAAGCCAGTATACAGAATTGGATGAGAGGACGCGATCACAGGACAGCTCGCATACCCCAGTGACAAACAGATTACACCGCCCCGAGCTAAAAAGCGAGTACGCCTCTCTTGATCAATCCACACGGTGTTGGGAGATTCCTAGAAAGAATGTAATTATAAAAAAGATCGTGGGTAAAGGTGCTTTTGGTCAAGTTGCCATGGCAACAGCGACCGGACTTCATGGAAGTCTTGATGAAATACGCGTTGCTGTTAAAATGTTAAAAGGTATCATTTAGCTGAGATAGATAATTCAATGGATCGTTGTTTGATTGTTAGACGGTGTTATTTTGGCGTCATCACTGTTTTTATCAATGTTATTCATGCACTTTTGATCGTCATTGTTTTTAAAATGTATTCCTACTCTTTGCCCGATGAAAGGAAGTTTTCAACAGAGGAGCTATGTAATTTCATTTTCATGATGTTAGATTTGTTTCTACCATTCATAGACTACGAAAGCAATCTTTAGCGAGGATTGAAACCTCGGTAAAATTGTTATAGATCTTTGGAGGGTTGGGGTCTCATGCAAGAGAGGATGAATTTCTCTCTTGTGCGGGCTTCAATAACTTCTTCTATAAGCGGCTACTGATCGTGAAATAAGTGGCTGTGCCTTGAAAAGAGGATGTAAGGCTAAACGAAAACACGAGCGTCTGCTCTCGGGCTCAACATATGGTGCTAAGGGATTTTACAGGTTGTCTGTTGGTCACGTGCTGCAAGTGTAGTTTCTTATGCAGTACTCACTTTTTATGAAGCGTAATGATTCTTTGCATCTCTTGGTAGGGGATGCTTCTGAATCAGACAAGAAGGATTTGCTATCTGAGCTTGAGTTGATGAAACAGCTCAAACCTCATCTTTTTGTGGTCAAACTTTTGGGATGCGTCACCAAATCTGGTACATAGAAAAGCGTATCCCTTTTTTACGCACTCTTAATTTCTAATTCTAAGTTTCCAGCGACACCTTTATAATAAGACAAGATATATGTGACCCTCTACGGGAAAATGTGTTTTAAGGGAAACAAACTGATACTGTAAAACGAAACGTCAAACAATAGGCAGTGGGTGAAATGACAAGGCGGTATCTGAGTGGTGTGACATGGCACAACTAAGTAAAATTGTTCTTTGTGAACTGTTTCGTAAATCGTTTGTTATTAAAATCACTGCTAACAGCTAGTAGCTGAATTACTTCTGCAATTTACATAGTTTATAATAGTTTAAAAGCGTAATTATATTACAAAAATATAAGCGTAATTATATTACAAAAATATAAGCGTAATTATAGTACAAAAATATAAGCATAATTATATTACAAAAATATAAATTGTATGACAATAAATTCTCAAAGACAACATCCAACGCTTAATAAATTCTAAATATGAACTATTCAAAATATTAAGAATAAGATTCCTACTTGGATTTACATTTGCCCTTTTGCTGCATAGTGCATTATGAAGGAATTTTGAAACCTTTTGGTTTTGATACCGGGCATAGCAAACATTCGCTTATTACATAGGTCGACTGAGATCATAAGAGGCATGATTCCTATCCAAATCCTATCCAAATCTTCCCTTTTGAATTTGATGTTTAGATTTTCTTGAAACGAAATGTCTTGCATGATTTTTCAAAGATTGCAGAATGTTTTCGTTTCTGTAAATGCAGCAACCAAAATCTAACTATAACTTCCGAATCAGAGTTTACAGTTTCACCATGAGAGGTTAAGACGAGGGATACTGCCTATGGCCCTGAAAATTCAAAGCAAAATAATCTGTCTTGCTTCCCGATAGCAAGCTATAAATCCCTATAGTCAGTTCTGTACAGAGTTTTAAGGGATTCTATAAAGTGCTAGTTAACTTTGTTTTCTTGACTTTGCAAAGAATTCATGAATTCCATAACGTTTTTGTTTCCCATTAAGTTTTGTTCTTTTCAGTACGGTTACACTCATCGTTAGCCCTTAACTGTAGTTTTTTGTTTTCCTTTTCATTTACAGTTACTTTATTCGAAATCGCTGAATGCTTTGTTTCTTCCAATTAATTTAGATCAAATTTTTGTCTTGCCTAAGGACCTTTGTTGGTGTTGATTGAATACGTTCCCTATGGTGATCTGCTGGGTTACCTGAGAAAGAGCCGTGGATTGAATGACACTTACTTCAAAGACCCAGATATCAAACCACAAACAAATCTGACTTCACAGCAGCTGATGAAGTTTGCCTGGCAAATCGCTGATGGAATGTCCTATTTGTCATCGATACCAGTGAGTAAAATCATTATTCTCTAAATTCTCATCAGCGTCGTTGTAGAAGAAGGCGCTGGTAAGCATTGCCTAATAATGAGTTCTTATCCCATGCCAGCTGAGTCACCCTAAGTCCCTCAATTTGTCAACAGTAATGGTTTCCGTTTTTTTGAAGGTTATTCATCGAGATCTTGCAGCTCGTAATGTGTTAGTTGGAGAAGGGGAGACATGCAAAGTAACAGACTTTGGAATGGCCAGAGATGTCCAAGAGGACAACATTTATGAAAGAAAAACCAGGGTACGTATAATTTAAAGAGAAAATTTATTTTCTTGTCGGAGTGACCTTTAAAAGTCAACAGGCTAAGAAATCGTTATTCAGAGCCTCACATTACACTGTTCTCTTAATCAGAAAGTAAGCGCTTCAACGAACCTCTTGTAATTTTACTTCTTGTTCAGGGGCGTCTCCCCGTAAAATGGACTGCCATTGAGGCCTTGCTGTATGGAAAATATTCCACAAAGAGTGACGTGTGAGTACAAGGACGACATTGCATTTAAGCTTGATAACAATGGTTTTGTACAAAAAGTTTTCAGGTCTGCGAAAAGTTATTGGGTTATTCTTGCATTTTGGTCTTGCATTTTGTTAATGTAAGACCATCTCAGTAAGGAGTGGTTTTACTTATGTTCACATTGTATTATCGTTGTGAGAAGGAATTAACTCCAATTATCTGTTTACTCTGTCCCTCCCCACCTTCCTCTCCCCCTGAGATGTTCAAATTACCCGTTTTTGCACAGGAGAGAGTTTATTCTCTTTGTTTCGTTTGTTTTACAGGTGGAGCTACGGAGTTCTTCTCTAAGAGATTTTCACGATTGGTAAGCTACCACTCTTAGGGGAATTCGGTTTTGCTCATTTTTATCGGAATTGCCAGGGTTCTTCAGATTGCCAAAGACGTTGGACTTGGCCGGAAAAGACAAAATTCATAATTATGCAAAAATGATGGTGTTTATATGGACACATTCTTGCATACGTAAGGCCTTTCAATTTAGAGTGCGTTAACCCTTGAGACTCCCTTTCAGGTGGTTCGCCATATCCACGGATGGATGGAAGAAGAATTGCAAACTCACTTCAAGAGGGATACAGAATGCCTAAACCACAACATGTGGATGATACGTTGTAAGTATCGCGTTGTCGTTATTTTTTCTGATTTATTTTCTCTTACAGTAGTATTTTTCCTACTTTAAGTAAATTTTGTTCGAGTTGTATGCAAGCCTCGAGGGCCACCGACCATAA